ACTGATTGAAATGGATCTGCTCACAAGACATGATGGCTGATAGCTGACACCATCATTTAAACTCTGTCCAGGTAACATGCAGGCTTCTAAACGCCTGACCCTATCAGAGGAGAGATGAGGCACCTAGATGTTGGTTTACCATGAGCAGTGTCCACTACAACCACTCCCTTGCTGCCATGAGCGGAAACGACATGATGGCGCACTCTCTGACTCTGGAGCAGAAGACAGCCTTTGCCTTTGTGGGGATGCTACTGGTGTTTTTGGGGCTGCTAATAGTAAGGTGTTTCAGGATCCTGCTGGACCCCTACAGCAGTATGCCCTCCTCCAACTGGGCTGATGGCATTGAGGGGCTGGAGAAAGGGACGTTTGAGTACGCCCTTACTTAACACAGGGACACACGCATCAGTAAATGTCCTGGCAAACAAGAAGTGTCCATGGAAATCCATATGCATATTCACACACACACACACACACACACACTTGCAAACATGAACGCACACAAGCTCCGCACAACCATTGCACGCTGAAACGCCATTAAGACATTACTGTGGCATACCAAACTCCAACAGCAAAGCCACGTGTGTTGTTTAACGTGTGTGAATTGTTCAGTGTCCGTGTGCGACTACATGTTTGTTGTATGCGTGTGAGTGTGCGAGGTGGTCATATTGTCCGCCCTTCTGCCAGGGGGTGTGTATTTCAAATCATCGATTTACACAGAACTTGGCTGAAGCTCCCTTTAACCCATACCTGCGAGATGAATGAATGTCTGTAGATAATAAGAGATGGATGTTCATGGAAGTGGGTGGGAGATTAGGATGCAATGGATCTTTTACGATATAGTTTGAAGACTCAGGGACAAGATTCCTCATGTGAACTTAGAATGGAAGAGAGAGAGTGTTTGAAACTCTGCACAGCTAAATTGTTCTGCACAGGAATGTATACCAGTGGATACAGGGTAATATGTCTAACTAGTGCTTTGTAGACTAATCAAATCCAATCTGTGGATGATCCAAATGGATGCTGCTGCTGCTGTGTGTGTGCACTTCGGTCCCTTTCTGTGGTGTCTTGTTCTCTGAAGTCATGCAATGAAAGGCAACACGACAAACTGTGATTTACATTATGGTGTTACTGTTTCTAAATGATGCAAAATCAACTCTCAAGAGTTTGTACTGCTGCTTTTTTTTGAATGATGGTATACTGTATCCTGCCACAATCACGTGTCAGAGTGAAAGGAACAAAAAACAACCCCAACTGTTTACTTTGATACATGTGGCAGTGTTGCTCTATGACTTGTCAAGCATTACTTCCATTGTTTAGCTTTCAAGCGAAATGAGGACGAAAAAAAATTGGAAGGACTTCCTCATTCTCAGCACTGCTAGTTTTCTGACGACAAGGAGAAACTCTCACTGCTCGCCTGCCTGCATAGGAAAAGGTCACATGGAAAACAGGTGTGGGATGTGCGTCCCGCTGCACCTGAACATCTTTTTCCTGTAGTTTCGGTCTCACCTCCAGTCTTTCTTCCAGACAGAGGAAGAGAGAACAGTCCTAAGCAGAGATTCTGTAATTCGGCCCACTGCTCAAAGTCTGGAGTGTTCCTTTGCTAATTTCTATGGTCTACGGTTTCTCCTTAGCGCTGTGACTCTGCCTTACTGTGACCTTCAATGGGTTTATGTGCCTTCATCTAGAAAACATAAGAGCACCTGTTTGTGCGTGCGTGCCCGCGTACGCGTGCGTGTGCTTGAGTGTCATATCATGACGACAGGCCTGTCGCTTGCTCAGCTGGTGGTGGAGGTTTCTCATTGATTTTCATTGGATCCAATGATGTAAAAATAAATAGAATTTTCTTCACTTTAAAATATTGCTTGCAAAGTCTCTGTGTTTTGCGCCTCTTGCTTCTTATGCGGGGAGATCTGTTTCAAAATTTCAAGCCTTTTTACATGGCCCGCTCGTAAGCTAGGAGAGCAGTTTTGCAACATTGCTGCAGCAACAGAGGGAAGGGGAGCAAGAGAGCGCCACAGGCTAATATTGGAGATTGTGAGGGACCAAGCAGCCAAAGCAAAGAGGACACAGGCAAAAAAAAAATATCTTCAAAAAGGGTTTTCTTTATTTTAACCCTCAAAAAGTCCAAAATTACCAAAATTCAAAAACATACTTAGCAGGCCCATAAAAGAGGTCAACTAAATATAACTCTACGAAAAGTAATTTCCAGAAACTTAAATAAAACAAAGTGAGACACAACTTAACTCACAAACTGAACGAATTACAAAGACACATGAGGGTAGCTTTTATAATGATTTGGCCAAACCATTTACACACAATAGGGGGAAAACAAAAACACACACTAATATTAACTAAGCACAGAATAACCTAACTAAACCTAAAACACCCCTGCTCCTGGTAAGCCCATGGTTGGTCCTGCTGAGCAGGCATTTTGTTCCCAGAGTCCTCAGCCACGCCCTGTGTGGCTGATGCCATCACAGAGATTTAGAAGCAGTTACACTTTTATGTTTTTTTAAATAAAACATTTACAAATAGGTCGTCATGCAGAAATTGATGATATGCATGTGCATGTATGGTACCGTCTAAAGAGAAATGGGGGCTAATGCAACAGCAGACGCAAGCAGATCTGCAGAACCCACATGCAGTTTACAATGAAAGGCCACCCTGTTCATCCCCTCTGACACGCATCATTTGTCAGGAATGCAATCATTATTGCGCCATTATCTCTGTCACCTACGTGACATCCTTATCTTAAATCTATTCTTAGCAGGAAAAGGCCCAATTTGCCCTCAAGCCTACAAGACCACTTAAAAGAAAAATGAACCCGACATTGTAACAAAGGTTACCCAGGAAGTGTTTCGAAACGTTTCTGCGTCGCACTGTCTTGGTGTCCGTTATTCATTTAAACACCGTAAATCGCTATCACTTCATTGACTGGAATAAAACAAGGAGACAGCTCTTTGGATCTTTGGCTCCTGGGTTTGATGGAAATAGGAGCTGATGAGTGATTGCAAAATTATTATTGCACAGATCATGTGTTGATGGCATGGCTGAATAACGTACCTTAGCGTTGCTGATTATCGATCATTAGTTTTATAACTTGCGATCTTCAGACTTCACAGCTATGACCTTGATGTCGCAATAAGGCCAGAAGATCCAAAAAGTTACATTTTTGTTTAAACCAAAAGCAATTTAACACAATCTGCTGCTTTTAGTACAAGAGCTTTAGGAAATCATTTTAGTGAGGTGAATACTGTAGTTTAAATGCCTCATTTTAACACGGCACTGGTTATTGTCAGTGCCCTTGGGGTCAGATCTAATGCTTTATCTAAAACTATTTAATTTTAGACTCGTGACTTGAGTTACATAATTTGACAAGCCTCCCCATAATTGCATTTGCTTCTGATAAAGAGCAGTGGTTTTTAAAAATCGCACGTTGTATAGAAAACTCAAAATCATAAAAGTTTTCAAGGTGTTTATTTATTTTTTCACAGTTCACGCTGGGTTTGCTGGGTTGCTTTTGCATGTATAATCTTAATGTGGCTTGAAATAAGCGCTTTGAACAACTGTGGAAGCCTGTCTGAATGAACATATCAATGATTACCTACCTCGATATATATCATTGTTTGATAATGGTTATTAATGATTAAAAGGTTCTTTAATAATTTACTTTTAAATGATTAAAAAAAACTGATTCTTGGATACCCTTTTCTTAGTTATTTGCAAGTTAATGTTAATGCTAACACTGAAATCAATTGTGGTTTGAATTGATTTGATTCAATAGGCATACAAGATAATATATATACAGAAAGTTTCTTTTACCTGAATATTTATCATTATTATTAATGATAATGAAACGGTATATATTACCTGAGTTTAATATTGCAAGAAAACACTTCTATGTGTAGTAGTTATGTAAAAAAGCTGAATTTTCAGAGAAGTGCTGCTACTCTTGGATCAAAGGCTACATTACAGCCATCAAAGCCAGAAGTTGCGAGTTATTTCGCGTTTGACTTTTTCTCCTTTTCATTTTAAGGATCACGTTTGGTCTTTGCTAGATTATAGAAAAGAGAGACCATTTATCCAGCACTTACAATTTTCTTGTCTTTTTTTTTTTTTAAATAGACCATATTTGAGTCCAGGTCACTTATTTTGTTTCTGAATGCCATAATGCAGTACAATTAGTGCAATAGATGAGTGGAGCTAAAAGGTTTGACCACTCTTTAATTTGCAGTCTATTGCTTCCTGTTTAAGATGTAATGCCGAGAATCTTGTCTGCTAATATTTTCACATTGCAGGCTTGATAGATTATGCAAAGGGGTTTTCTGCCTTTTTCAAGTGATTTGGATGTTAACGAGAGTGCAGACTCCCTTGTTCTCTGTACAAATTGGTGCATATGCACCTGCTACCACAGGCTCACAGTGTCCGCTCAACAGCTCTCTGAGGAAAGCTGTATACTGTGAATTTATTAAAGCAGATCTGGCAAAAGTCAAGCAGCCTGGATAATAAAAAAGAATCGCAGCAATTTCATGTCCCGGCTGCGGGAGAGTCAGCAAGGCCTGAGGATCACTGACTCTAATAAGAAAGCCGCAGTGTAAAATGAGACAAGGCCTGGGTCTGTTTAACCACCAAAAACACTGTAAACCTGGGTATGAACATGTGTCTCAAAGCTTAAGACTAATATCTCTATTAGTTGGATCGATTACTGCAACTGCCTTCTTTTTGGTCTTAGTCAAAAATCTATCCATAAGCTTCAAAGTGTCCAGGGCTTTCTGCTGCTCTCCCCCTGCCTTTGGAACTCCCTTCCTCCTGAGATAAGAAACCTCACTTCCCTCCCTCTTTTTAAGTCCAGACTCAAAACTCACCTGTTCACAATAGCCTAATCCACATAAACTTTTCCATCCTGCTACTTTAGTTTATTTTATTTATTTGCTCTACGTTTTAGCTTTACTATTTTGTAAATTATAACGTTTGTTGTTGTTATTGCTTGTGTACAGTGTCCTTGAGTGTTTTGAAAGGCGCTTTCTTAAATAAAATGTATTATTATTATTATTATTATTATTTATTAGGTGTACAAGCCTTTTTGAGTCTGATTAAGAAAAAAAACGAGATGGGGAGGCAGAAGGGAAGAGGAGAGATCTAGTGTGCAGATCTTTACACTCCACATGGAAATTTTTCTTCAGCATGACTCAGTCAGTATCATTCATGTGTTAAACCATAAAAACTTTGAAACACTGATTTGATAGGCAATGAACAATTGATTGTCTCCTTTCAACTTAGATATAGAAACACATGCTGGAGTATCTTTGTCAGCCCGCAATACAGCCAAGGTCAGATCTCAAGTCGTTAGCCACCCTTTCACTGGGTGCATAAATCACTGTGGTGTATCAGTAATAAGGAAGTTTACCTGTTAAAAGGTCTTTTAAAGGCACTTCAGAAGTCATGTGGCTCTGGTGAAAGGCCTCCGGCATGTTCCTGTTATTCATGGTCTTATATTAACTCCCATTTTCCCCATTAATATGGCCATTTCTTCTGAGCTCGCCAATTCACTAACATTCCCCCATAACAATTTGCAGCAAAGAGAATCATTAGAGACATTTATTTAATCCGCTATATAACTCTGGGCCCAGTATACTAGTCACACGTAGATTCTCCCGTTATCACACCGTTCCTCAGGATTATATCTTATTGCAAACATATGTTATGAAATGTATATTTTTCTATTGGCCTACATTAGCCTTATCTTTTTCAGACTCTTTACAATATACACATCATAATGGGTCTGAAACCTGTTTAGTGAGAACTTCCATGTGGATGTTTCCAAATGATTCATCCATAGGTCTGAGGAAATACTATACTTAAACTGCAACCACAGAACAGCATATGCTGTTACCCTGCTCTTCAGACAATAATATTAGTAATCAATTCTCCAGCACTCAGGCAATGAGCACCTTTATCTCTCGTTTGGTGTTTATGACTTGGTTAATAGTTAAGCAATGTCTTTGTGTCCCTTACGATGGAGCAAGGACATATCTGACACCCCTTGTTCGGATTTCTGAGGGTTGATCCAGTAAGTTAGCCAATAGCTGACAGCCAGTGTATGACCCTGGGATACATGGTATAAAGGTAAGCCATCTGAAAGAAACCCAGCTCATTTGCAAGGAGCTGAGAGTATCAGAAGAGTTCTCTGCAAGTCTGATCATAGATTATAGCCTAGTCATCAGTAAACAAGGACAACCACACCAAGCTGATCCAGCTCTCTGCGCTTTTGAAACTTTTGGATGTCTGAAGACTAGACTGTTCTTTTATCCTTGACGGTTTAAATCTGAGAGTCTCCCTCAGCATTCTTGATGGAGAGATTCAATTCTAACAAGGGGGGGCACATCAACTCTGCCTATGATTCCAACCTGGATGAACCTCCAGTTTATGAGGAGACCAACGATGACCACAGGACAGTGCGACCCTCCGTGATCAGCGCCTTCGGTCATGACACTCTGGACCGCGTGCCCCACATTGACTTCTACCGCAATGCAGGCAGCATGAGTGGCCACAGAGCTGTGCGACCGTCCCTGCAGGAGCTCCATGATGTGTTTCAGAAGGTGAGTGAATGTAGATGTGTGAGATGTATAAGATCTCTCTGTTTTTCCTCTATGGTCGGCACCCAATCTCCTCCTCTGTTAAGCCTGTTTTGTCCACAACCTGCCATTCTGCAGAAAATAGCTTGCACCCATTTTTCTCCAAATTCAAGTCAGTGACGTTTTAACTGCAGGGTTTTTTTCCCTCCTCTGCTGCACACTTCATTAGAAAGTGAAGTGATATATTTTACAGATGTTTATTCTTTCAAACAGCCGTGCAGTAGCCACAGTCCAATTATTAGAGCCTTATCTTAAAACTTGTGAAACTAAAAAGGACAACAAAAGTTCTTACAACTGAATGACAACCAGCACTCTTGACACACTTAAGTTTTATTGTTTTTTTATTATAAGGCTACATTGTCTAAGAAATGGGTAAGATTATTTAGGTTTATTGGCTGAATTAGGTTTGCAACCCTGGATGGTTTAAAAAAAAGATATTTTAGTACCCTTGCCAGCAAAAAATGAAAAAACACAACCACCTATTTATTGCCATGAGAAAACAAAAACCACAACTTTTTATAATGCCGCCCCTTTTCTTGCAGCGGATTATGCATATAAACACCAAAAATGCCATCTAGTTACTGTGAAAATGTATGTTTCCTTCTGTGTTTTCATTCTTCCTCCAGAACGGGGTGATCTCTGTCCCAGACACATTGGAGGACGATGGCGAGAGGAGCAGTGGAACCCCCTCTGACGATTTAGAGTCTGCTGCTCCCACTGACGATATGAAGGGCATGGTAAAGTTTGGCTGGATAAGAGGAGTCCTGGTAAGTTATTTTAGGTCATGGTAAGCTTCTTTTTTTATTTAACCATGGTCACTCAACCAAAGATGAAGCTCTGTGGGTCTCGATAACACAACGAGGCCCAGTGGCGCTTTCGAGACCAGAATCTGGGAATGATTTGCATTTGCTCAGGACATGATTTTGATCTTGCTTTTGTGTTTCAAGGGCACAAAGGTCAGAAAAGGCCCCCAACATATTTTTTATTGGATTTTTTTGTAATTAAAAGCCAAATTATGCTCAGTGACATTTACTCCATAAATTGAAATAACAATAAATCATGAAAAACAGTGAGAAAAATAGACTTACACTGCTCTCTTCCACAGGTGAGATGCATGCTCAACATCTGGGGTGTCATGTTGTTCATCCGTCTGTCCTGGGTTTTTGGTCAAGCAGGCTGGGGTGAGTGGGGCAACGATACACACATACGCACACATAAATAGCCACCAAGCCCACAGTAATGTTTTTTTTGTGTGTGTGAGCACTTTTGCTGAAAATGAGTCCGCCTGTAACTCCAGCCCTTATCAAACAGTGAACGCAATAAAAAATAATCTATTTACCTGGTGAAAATGTATAATCTGGGGCAAAAACAGACCGATCCCAGAGGTCTGTGTTGTCAAGGCCAGAGCCGATGCTGTTCCATGTAATTGCAGGGATTGGAGATAATTAAAGGATAATTAATGAGCTCCCTTAATGATCTATACCTGCTCAAGGTCTGTTGGGAGAGGTAGAGGTAGATAGTGGTGTTTGTGTGTGTGGATGAGAGAGAAAGTGAGAGAAATAAAAAAATAGGAGTGGGGCTTTGAGTATGACTTCATTAATTTGTTCATTGCTTCAGAACCTATAGATCAGCTGGGTAACCCATGGGGTTCCCATGAGACGTTAAAGTTTAGCACTTTTAAAGCTAACTGTGGGGAGGAAGCTTTCATGTCACACACAGAGTGTTTTACACCTAACTAAGCAGTGCTGTAGCTGGACTTTACAAAAGTGATTATTGCATATTTGCATTTCAGGTCTGGGAATTGTGATCATCGCGCTCAGCTGTGTGGTCACCACCATCACCGGCATTTCCATGTCGGCTATTTGTACTAATGGTGTGGTGAGAGGAGGTAAGGCAGCGAAATTTCAAGATAAAGATAAAGGCACAAAGTTCCAAACAACACCTGAATATGAGCTCCTGAAGCACTTTTTATTTGTGTTGTTTTTTCTTTTAAAGCTGTATTTAACTTATCCTGACATTAAATCAACCAGTCACTGAATTTTCTATTAATAATTCACTACTGTATGTGTCTGTGTGCGTTACATTGCCATTTCAGGAGGTGCCTACTACATGATATCTCGCAGTTTGGGACCAGAGTTCGGTGGTTCTATTGGTCTTATTTTCGCATTTGCCAATGCAGTGGGCGTATCCATGTATGTGGTGGGATTTGCTGAGACAGTGGTCGACTTGCTCAAGGTGAGACATGTTATATTGATTAGGCTGTTGTAGAAGGATATATATAGATATATAGATATATTGTTTTTTGGGGGGGTTTTTTGTCATACACAGGAGAACTCTGCTATCATGGTGGATGAAATGAACGACATCAGGATCATTGGCTGTATTACTATTGTGCTGCTCTTGGGTATATCAGTTGCTGGGATGGAATGGGAGGCAAAGGTTAGAGCAAAAAACGGTGCTGTTTGTTCACCAGTCTCGTTTACTTGTACAAAAGCTTAAACTGTTTGCATTTGTTTCTCACCACAGGCGCAAATTATTCTTCTGGTTATCCTGCTGGTGGCCATAGTGAATGTTTTTGTAGGAACAGTCATTCCTGCAACCAACGAAAAGAAAGCCCAGGGGTTTTTCAATTACAGATGTGAGACATCCGCTCCAAACCGATACACATTTTTCATTACAAATAATCCCACTCACTCACAAAGTGCTGCTAACCCCTGCCATTTCTCCTCACTCTCTCTTTTCACAGCCAAAATCTTCTTAGAGAATTTTACTCCAGCATTTAGGGACGGTGAGACATTTTTTTCAGTATTTGCCATCTTTTTCCCCGCGGCAACTGGGATCCTGGCTGGAGCTAACATCTCTGGAGACTTGCGGGTAACTTTTTCATACAGAGAAGAATAATACATGGGGGTCATTAACTGCTACGTAACATAGGCTTGAATAAAGAGTTTTTATTTTTTTAATTCAAACTTATTTGTTTTACATAAATACATTTCTTTAAAGTCATTGTATTTAACTGTCAAGCACAGATCTGCATAATTTAACACAAATCTTTATTATTTCACAGGATGCCCAAGCTGCACTACCCAAAGGTACCTTGTTAGCCATCCTGATCACTGGTCTCACCTATCTGGCAATGGCTCTTTGTGTCGGTAAGTGACATGTTTGATTAAATGCCGCTCCAGTGAAATAAAATCTTCACTGGAATGAGTAAAACTGTGTATAGCATTACCTTGGGCAGATACAGTTTTACCTGGATCATACAATCAGTATCACTTATGTCCCTGAATATAAATGTGTCCTGAAAGCACAAATTTTATCTAAAAAATGCTAATTAATCCATTTGCTCTTTTCTTCGACTGGTCAGCTGCTACTGTTGTCCGTGATGCCACAGGCAACTCATCCAGCATCATAAATCACACAACACCAGTAATTTGCAACGGTTCAACAGCGGTTGCTTGTGAACTCGGCTACGATTTTTCTTCCTGTGAAGTAGAGAAATGCAAGTTTGGCTTGATGAATAACTTCCAGGTACACAACTTTCTAAATAAAGAAACTTTTAAGAAGAATTCAATTTCTTCATCTGTAATGCTCTCATCTTCTCATCACCTCTGATTCAGGTCATGACCTTGGTGTCTGGGTTTGGTCCTCTCATTATTGCTGGAACATTTTCAGCCACCCTGTCATCAGCCCTGGCTTCCCTTGTCAGTGCGCCTAAAGTCTTCCAGGTCAGTAGATCGCCACTGTTTTTTTTAATGTACTACAATAAAATGCAAAGTCATAGAGAAGCAAACCTGTTGCTCTTAACCTCTGAAAATATTTTCCTTCACATCATTTCTTTTCTCCTCAGGCACTGTGTAAAGACAACATCTACAGGGCCCTGCACTTCTTTGCCAAAGGACACGGCAAAAACAACGAGCCAATCCGTGGTTATGTCCTCACATTTATCATTTCTGTTGCTTTCATTCTCATCGGTGAGCCTGCTGCTGCTGTACCATACCACCCGAACAACCTTAAACCAACATTTCATGCTTTGTCTCAAACCACATAGCTAACAAAGTCTTCCAATTTGAATGAATCAGAAAACACGTTCACACATCAACAGATCACTGACATAAACTAAACAAGCCAAACAACGAAAGGAAGATTTCATCTGACAAGTGGCGTCCATGCAAAGTGATACAGTTAAAACTCCTTCTTAGCAATCTGCTTATTGTGTATATTCACAAACCTGTTTCAGATACATATTGGTTCATGTTTAAGTTTGATATTCCCGCTCTGTGAAAGAATTTAATGTGATTTTCTGTCTGTGCAGGTGACCTCAACACAATCGCTCCTATCATCTCAAACTTCTTCCTCGCATCTTATGCCCTCATCAATTTCTCCTGCTTCCATGCATCTTATGCCAAATCTCCAGGTGGGTGTCTAAAAAGTAGCTTATAAAGGAAAAATTATGTTAGTAAAATCAGGTAGTTCTGCTTGTCCCTATCCTCATTTACCATTTTTTGTTGCTGTTAGTGTTTTAATCCATTACTTTGTATAAGTGACTTCAAATATTTAGGAAATAAAGCACTACCTGACAAACCGAGCTGTTTCAGCAGTGGATTATGTTTAATGGAGTTTGTTATATATAGTCTGTTTTCCATCACTTTTCTCACATTGCTCTTTGTTTTAATGCAGGTTGGAGACCGGCATATAAATACTATAACATGTGGCTGTCCCTGATGGGAGCATTGCTCTGTTGCGTTGTTATGTTTGTTATCAACTGGTGGGCTGCTCTGCTCACATATGGCATTGAATTCCTCCTCTACATATATGTCACAGTGAAGAAGCCCGGTGAGCTTATTTGATTGCTTGGAAGGATTTTTGCTGTGCAACAGGAGAAGTAGAGCTAACCTGTCCGGGCTGATTTTATCTTCAGATGTAAACTGGGGTTCGTCCACGCAAGCGGTGACGTTTGTGAGTGCAGTCAGCAATGCTCTATCTCTGTCAGGCGTGGAGGATCACGTCAAGAACTTCAGGTAAAATCCTGCACTCAATTCCTGCAAGCACATATGAGAAACATTATTATCATAATAGTTTCAAAGATAATTTACGTTAGGTAAAACTTTTCAATCAAGGGGATTTTCAGAAACCTAAAAAAAAAAGGAGATAATGTTCTTATTTCCCGTCTTCAGGCCTCAGATCTTAGTTCTGACGGGTTCGACACGAAGCAGGCCGGCTCTCCTTGACCTGGCTCACTCCTTCTCTAAGAACTATGGACTGTGCATCACCTGCGAAGTGTTTGTGGTATGTAATATTGCAATCTCAGACAGTCTTAAAATCTTGATTTAAAAAAATCAACCTCACATTTAAATTAAGATTTGCAAAATCAAGCAAATGTAATTCATCAGAGTGCAGACTTAGCATGCAGTGGATGTTCAAAAGAATGTGAAGTAGGAATGAGGGAAATGCCAACTGTCTGGGCGCCTGAGACTAAAGTTTAGGGTCAGGTGCACTTTCTGAATATAAAAAAAGATGGACCGCTTTTCCCTTTCACAAAAACGCTTACATTCAGCCGTATGGTGTTATCTCCTCAGGGCCCCAGATCAGAGACCGTTGACGAGATGAACAATGCAATGGAGAAGAACCAGTTGTGGCTTAAGAAGAAAAAACGCAAGGCATTTTACGCTGCCGTGGCCTGTGACAACTTCAGAGAAGGGGCTGAGAGTCTGCTGCAGGTCAGTATGGTCATAATTTATTTATGAGGTAAATAAAAAAATCTAGTTAACCCCCAATAATCCAGTGTATTAATGTGTAACGTGAGTTTTGATGAGAATATGATAGCAGATTCACAGAAGCAGGTTTTATTGACCCATGTCTTCCAAACAACACCCTACATCTGTTGATCTAGAGCTGTCTTAAAAATCTGGCCAGGACATATGTGCAGTAGAAAAGTTCAGAGCAGAAAAACAGTGGTATGGCTCAGACTATTGCACCGTCGAGATAAGGCCTCTTATGATTGTCCGGATAGCTTACTTCAAACAACACGGCAGATTAAAAGCTATAACTGATTAACACTGCATTTGGATGAGCTCCGGCAAAGATAAAGTGAGGTCTGCTGAGTGATCTGACAGTAAAACAGCCTTACAGTCTATTTCGCTTGGAAACTTTTAAGCTTTCTAGAAATCATTCCCCCCTCCCTCTCTTAATCAAGGTTTTACACTCGGTTTTATAACCCCAGGGTAACATGGTGTCTGTATTGCTTCACTTAACAGCTCATTGTGATTTGGGATTTTATATCTTCCTCATAGGCTTCTGGTCTTGGCCGTATGAAGCCTAACACATTAATGATAGGCTTCAAGAAAAACTGGAGGACTGCCGGGGCAGAAGCAGTTCAGAGTTACGTGGGAATACTTCAGTAAGTGCCGAATAAACACACACACATACATTTTTATAACAATAACACACTCAGTAATGAGAAGCACATTGAGAGTTATCATTTCATTTATTTTGTTTTCTCTGTGCTTTTTAAATGTACTTTATGAAGTTTGCAGTGCAGTAAAAAACCAGTGCAAAGTGTGGGCTTCTTTTATTTGATCATTTGAAATCTATTTTAATATGTCATTATAATACATGTGTAGCATTTATTTCACAGTAAATTCCATTTAAATCTTTAGGAACATACAAATAAACATTGTGGATGTATTCACATTGTTATGTACTTAAACATTTATAACCTGCTCCTATAATGTACATTACAAAGCCATAATAATGTGATATTTCAAATGCCCATATATCCTTCCCCATATGCTTACACATTGTTAATGCAAATGGCAATTAGAAACTTAGCATTTAATAACTCTATATAGCATTATTCTCACTTTGACCTTCAGATCAATCTAATGACCTTAAAGGGGAGGTCATAGGTCAAATGTGACATATTTTAAATTATGCATTTCACACACACCAACTGTACACACCAAATGTAAGTGTCATAGTTTCTGGGTCATAAGGGTTTTTGTCAATTTTCAGCGAATTAATCATAAAGTTGACCTTGAAGTTCTTAGTGGATGTAAGCCAGAATTTTTATTTTTTCATTAGAATTCATTCAAAAGTTTTTGAGCTATTGTATATGACACACATGTACACCACAGACTACCGAAAGCACAACCTCCGTAATTAAGCATAAAGGTAATTAAGCATAAACAGGAGATCTGTGTTTGAACTAGCATCCTTATTCTCTTGTTGACAGCGATGCATTTGACTTTGAATACGGGACAGCAATGCTGAGGGTGAACCAGGGACTGGATGTGTCTCACATTGTCGAGGCAGAAGGTCTGTATGATATTGTCTTTAGGCTTTAAATTATTTAACCCGCAAGAGCTCCAGCATCAACATACCCATGGTAGAGAAAACAAACCACCAAGAAATTAAGAAAAACTGTTGTAAGAAACTGCTGTACATCTGTCACAACAACTCACAATAACCCTTTATAATAATAAAAACACTGATAAACCGAGATACTTTGTTCTGTAGATTAGAAGCTTTTAATAAAGGTTTACAACGGTCAGGTAGTTCACAGATAAGATATTAAAAAAAATGCCATTTACAGCTGTGTCTCTGCAGATTTGTTTTCCAATAAGAAAAGGGATCCTACCTTGTGTAACACATATTCACAGTCATGTTTCCCATTCTGTTTTTCAGAGGAGATGCTAAGGGCAGCAAAGGAGCAAGAGGCTCTGGAGAATGAGATGATGCCAAATGGAGGGAAGGGAAAAGGACTATTCAGGAAATCCAGGAAGTCATCTCAGCAAGTGCTCACGACCAGAGGTACCCATCTTACGACTGTCTCTAACTCCTATTTAACCCTCTCAAGGCAGACGTTGCCGATTTGCAACAGTTAAAAACTAACAACCTGATTACCCCACATACATATTTTATGAGTTTTTTTTACTCAGAAGTACCACTGCAGGACTTGGTTGTGCATTAGCAACAAAAAAACTTAATTTGAGCCTGAGAGGGTTAACCCTTTCATGCACGAATTATGACAGCCTCACATTTACATTCATCTTTAGGTATGAAAAATAAAAATACTTAATGAAAAAATCCAGATTGAGATTGTCATAATTCATGCATAACAGGGTTAAATAACAATAATTACAATGAAACACGTCATATATCTCCAGTAATGTTAAACGACCAGTGGGTGGCGGGGGATGGAGTGACACATTAGTGTCTAATGTAGTGGTTTATGTGCAAGTAAACCATCAACACTGACACAAATACAAGAAAACAGCCTTTGAATAGCTGTCTACTGTAGCGACCACTATGCCTGAAAGGGTTAAAGAATAAGTTGCATCAAAAGATGAATGTGATCTCTTAATATGTGGAAGCACGTTTCTCTTTTTCAGTCTCCTCCACACACAGACTCAAATAGCGTACATTTAATAAATGAAACCAATGACTCTCTTTTTTTTTTTTTTTTTTTTTTTGGGGGGGGGGGGGGGGGTGCTCACATTGAGACATAATTGAATCTGCCATTCCCACTAAAGAGGCCCCTGAGGCTGTAATCCAATAATACACTCCTTTTCGTCCACTTTGAAGAGCATCTTTTAAGAATGTTCCTTTAACCCAGACAGCAGAGGGTGGTTGCAGCCTGTAGCTCAATCTTTCTCTGTTTCACACGCACACGCCAACACACGCTCATCCCTGAGCTGCATCTTGGCAAGACAGCGAGACAAGGCAGTCATTAGTATACAAAATGCACCCTGCTCATTGGAGCATTAAACTTGAGAGACGGCCATTTCTGGTGATGTAGAGTCATCTCTTAATGTTGGTTTGTGATAGTTTTCATATCCGACTTTACAGTGAATTATATTCGCTCCTGCTGTTGCTCTCATTTCTTTCTCCCTTTCTTTCTCTCTCCCAGTGTCGGTGTGTGGCTCTCCACCGCCACAGGTTGCCAAAATGAATGAGAAGCTGGTGGAAGCCAGTCTTCAGTTCAAGAAGAAACAGCCCAAAGGCACCATTGATGTGTGGTGGCTGTTTGATGACGGAGGTAATTCTTGGATCATTTTTATGAACACTGCCTGAAGTTCGTAACAGATAGGCGCACACAAATCCATAACATTCTCCTCGATATCACTGGAGACAAAAATATATGAAACAAGCCAAATCTTTAAAAAATAGTAGTCTCTGAAAGACGCAACACGGACCAATAAATAAAAAATGTGCTTCTCTTGTCTCAGGTCTTACACTGCTCCTCCCCTACATCCTCACTACCAGGAAGAAGTGGAAAGACTGCAAAATGAGGATCTTCATCGCAGGACAGCCTGGACGCAGTGATCTGGATAAGGAGGAGTGAGTAAACTAATTAATATTTCAATATCAATTACAGTTTAATATGTGGAAGTTAGACTGGATACATTAATTGGCAAGATATGAAAATTCATGTGCTGCTAACGTTACTGGAATGCTATTTAGCATTAACACCAAAATGAGGAAGTACATGTATAGGACAGCTAATCAGTGCGGGGTGATTTGACTTGCAGGATGAAGGGCTTGCTGAAGAAGTTTAGAATCAACTGCAGTGACATTAATGTCTTTGATGACCTACATATCAAGCCCAGGTCTGAAAGGTAACTGCCATTTCTTTTCACATGCACAAGTAACAGCGAACCAGATGCTGAAGTAGTAATAGTAAAATTGAATCACATTGTAATATCAGCATGCTACAAGTTTAGGGGAGAAAAAGAACATTTATAGAGAAAACTCATGTTCTTATTTGCATTTCTCCAGCTTGAAGGAGTTACAGGAGATGATTGAGCCTTTCCGTCTGCATGAAGGGTCCAAAGATGCTGATCAGATTAGAGCCTTGCAGAAAGAGCAGCCCTGGAAGGTCACCGACAAAGAGCTAAGCGAGTTTGAGGAGAAGGTAAAAAGCACTGACACTAAGTAATAACCTTACACAGGCTACAGTGAAGATATCATGTATTATCTTCATATCAATATAAACAAAATAAAAAAATTTATTGTTAAAAAAAAATAACTGTCGCTTGGTTACAGACACACCTCCAGGTACGACTGAATGAGCTCCTCAAGGAACACTCCAGATCAGCCAATTTAATCATTGTGTAAGTATATATTGTCTGAATAACACTACCAAGCTTAATCCAGTGTTGAAAGAACAATGTCTAACATATTTGTTTACACTGTTGACCCCCTGTAGGAGCATGCCCATAGCTCGTAAAGAAACGATCTCTGATTTCCTCTACATGGCCTGGCTGGACATCCTGACAAAGGACCTTCCACCCACCCTGCTCATTAGAGGCAACCACAAGAGCGTGCTAACTTTCTACTCTTGAGCACTTTCCCTGCCAACAATCCAAGTGTGATATAGCTAGAAAGGAAAAGGAATGGTGTTGCCATAATGACAAGCCATGTTTAAATAAAATGTATAAGAATATTTAGTCTTCCAGGCCAGCAGAAAAGTGTAACACAATCAAGCATTTGTGGATAACTCCAGCATATAAGCATATATATAGAGAGATATATATAGATATAGATATATATATATGCCCTCTAAGAAAGGACACACACACAACAAGTCTGTATTTCCGAAATTGAATTTGCAAATGTGAAATGTGTCCAAATATGAATGTAGCTGCTTAGAAAAACACATAGTCAAATCAATTCAAATCAGTTCATAAACAAAGGCAGAGACACAACCACGGCTGTGCAATGTCAGACTGTAAAATAATTGTATATAGTAGATGTGTGTATTCTAGAAATGATCAACATCTTGTTATTGGCAACTTTATTATCAGTTCTTTTTTAAACACTTGTTATGTTCACTGTGTAAAATACACTGCTGCCATTATACAGATGTTTACCTTTCACGTGACATTTTTTCAATATTTTTCATGTTACTTTCATAGTACACTTTTTAAGGGCAATGGAATAAGGTAGAACATTATAAATCAGATTATTCTGTAAATTTTACCCTTCCTATTTTAGTCTATCTATTTAAGCACATAATGTTAATCAGCTGAAATAAAGATTAAAAACATTTGTGATGTCTCCTTATGTGAATATATTATATTTATTTATAGTGTCAGATGTTCTATGTCCAGAGAAATGTGTCAGTGGAGGGGGAAATGGGGTATATACTGCAGTACATAAATTAGATGTCTATTATTTTAAATGTATAGTATCTTACTTGGTACCTTACAGACATCATTTGGGTATTTTCTCATTTTATGATGATTATTCTATACAGTTTGGCACACTGGGAATAAAAAGTATGCACACTTTGAAAGTAGTCAGCAGAACCTAAGGTTTAACAATAATGATGTTTACCCTTCACCAGACATATTTATTCATTGCAAACCATAAAAGATCTTTTGAGTTAAAAGTAAAGCTGCACATGCCACCTACATATCAGCCAAATCAAGATCAGCCTTCCCTATCAGCAAATAAGACGACCTTTACCATTGGCAGTAGCCATAATCTGCTGTGTCACATCAACAATACAGAGTTCAAACATAATTTAGCGCACTTTAAAACTATTATTTTAATTGCTGTAGTTAAAATTTTGCAGTTTAAAGAAACAAGAAAAAAAACACACCTATACAGGCATAACTGGTCAGTATTGGGCCACAACTCCCTGATTATATTATGTGTCTATGAATATATTACACTGAATGTGAATCCCCTTTTAACCACTTTTAACCCACAGAAAGAGCTAAAATTTGTGATCCAACACAAACTATTCACCATCAGTTGAATTGTATCATATCACCCTATTAGAGCACTTCGCTCTCGCTCTGCAGGCCTACTTGTTGTTCCTAGAGTATTTAAAAGTAGAATGGGAGGGAGAGCCTTCAGTTTTCAGGCCCCTCTTCTGTGGAACCAGCTTCCAGTTTGGATTCGGGAGACAGACACTATCTCTACTTTTAAGATTAGGCTTAAAACTTTCCTTTTTGCTAAAGCATATAGTTAGGGCTGGACTAGGTGACCCTGAATCCTCCCTTAGTTATGCTGCAATAGACATAGGCTGCCGGGGGATTCCCATGATGCATTGAGTTTTTCCTTTCCAGTCACCTTTCTCACTCACTATGTGTTAATCGACCTCTCTGCATTGAATCATATCTGTTATTAATCTCTGTCTCCCTTCCACAGCATGTCTTTATCCTGTCTTCCTTCTCTCACCCCAACCGGTCGCAGCAGATGGCCGCCCCTCCCTGAGCCTGGTTCTGCCGGAGGTTTCTTCCTGTTAAAAGGGAGTTTTTCCTTCCCACTGTTGCCAAAGTGCTTGCTCATAGGGGGTCATATGATTGTTGGGTTTTTCTCTGTATCTATGAAGCGCCTTGAGGCGACTTATGTTGTGATTTGGCGCTATATAAATAAAATTGAACTGAATTGAATTCAAAGGAGAAAATCTTAAACTTCAACTCTGTTCTCAGATAAAGGGATATAGATACTCTGAGTATGATCTTTGAACATCGGCTGTTTTTTCAGTCATTTTCAGGCCAGTCCTTGTACCTGACCATGTTTTTGTTTGTTTGTTTAAGTTGTTTAACAGTGATCTAGGAATCATTCAAGCATAAAAAAAGACTGTAACAGACAACTTAATTCCTAAAAAGCTGATCCAGAATATGAGAGATGCATCTGGCCTTTCAGTTGTGACCAGGGAGACTAGATGGAGGTATGCCAAATGACACAAGATCAAATCAGTAGTACCAGGTCTTATGGACTGAGGAAACAAATTTGACACTTTTGGTTCAAATCATCACTGTATACAGAGAAGGCAAGGAGTCCAACAATGAGTGTCTATAGCCATTCGTAGGCTGTGGTTTAAGACTGCATTTCAGCCTGTGATATATGGGATTCTGTCAAAATCAATACACTCAAGAACCAAGAAAAATCTGATTTTGAGCTACTATGTAGTACCATCTGGAAAGCATCTGATTGCCAATAGCTTAATTTTTAAATAGATCCCAAACACATGGCCAATCCAGTAAAAGCATACCTAGATAGAAAAACAGCACCACTAGTCATGGATTGGCCTCACCAGATCCTGGACCTTAACTTTACTTAAGTAGCACGGAATCATCTTGCCAGAGAACAGAGCGAAGCTGTTTCCAAAAAACAGCTTCAAAATGCCTGAAGAATTCAGGCTGTGTTGACGAATTAAGGTGATCATACCATATCATTTAAAATCTGTCAGACAATGCTCAGGATTTTTTACGAGTCTGTTGTGGTCAGTACCATCCTCTATGTTATTGTGGTCAATACCACCCTGCTATTGTGGTCAGTCGCAGATGCCAATCGACTCAATAAAACTGATCCGAAACGCCAGTAGTGTTGTGAGGATGGAGCTGGACTCCCTTAAGGTGGTGTCAGAGAGGCGGGTGTTGTCCAAGATAAGGACAATGGTGGATAATACCTCCCACCTTCGCCATGACATGCTGGCCAGTCACAGGAGAATATTCAGTAAAAGACTGAAATTACCCAAATGCACCAAAGAACGATGCAAGAAATCAATCCTGTACGGTGGCCCCTAGAGACAAAGCATGTACAAACTCTCTAGGGGCCACAGTAATCCTGCCCATCTAATGCACACTACACAGTGCAATAGTTAGACTCTTTTGCACATGCTCTTTTTACATTATTAAATTTAGTTCAGTTTGTTACTGTTATTGTCTTACAGCAACTGTAATGACATTATTTCCTTGGCGATTAATAAAATATTTTGATTCTGATTTAAATCATGATACCAGCACGTTCAGATGCTACGGCGGCATGTATGCTGTGGCATATGGAGTAGGAGATGTTCTGCTCTTTGGAGATGACTGCACAGCATTTTGGGTATGATGCAGCAGCGTTTGGGGATAATGCCAAATCTCGGTGCTGATGCCACGATTTGAACTAGCCCAGCTGCTGTGACAGCAAATTAAATTTATATTTAAAAACATACCCTATCAACCAGAACTGGGTTGCGAGTCGATACGACGAAGAGTATATAAATCGTGTTTCGTTTCTTGGTTCTAGCCTATCCAATCGTTTGCGTACTTTATACGCTGCTGAAGCTTAGAGCTGCTCCGAGACACGGGGGGAGGGAGTGCGGCGTTCGTGAACCTGAGAAACCTGCAAAACGAAATTATTAACAGTATGGCCCGAATACTGCTGAAGGACTTTCAACTATGCTCGCGGGTTTTTAACGCTGCTCCGCGTTTCTTGGGGAAAGAACTGCACTTTCAAATGACAACTAAAAATAAAGGCAAGCAAGAAATTACGAGCGATAACACCACCATGACCGACACGCCAGGAAGTGCTTAGTGGCATTAGCTTTGCTAGCCTGCCTAGCGTTTTGTAACTGTCTGCTTTGGTTTGGTCATGTTCTTTTCTTTCTTGTTTGTCGTGTTCGAACCACGTAAGCGAAACACTCATTCTGCTTTGTTCGGATATATAATGTATAAGGCTTATGTCAACGATTTCCTTTTTGTTTTTGTAGGCTGATATATTTTTCCACCGGAAGTTCGAAATGTTTATATTAGTAACTCTCGCGAGAAAACTCACGTTAACTACTTTGACTGAACGCGGGAATCTCATACAAATAATCTCGCAGACCCGGGAACACACTGAAGCAGATTGTTGGTGGAAGTTTGTAGTGTCGTCCTTTAATTATCAATTACTTAGTTTTTAGTAGGTTTTAATTTTTTTTGTACTGTAAGTTTTTAATTGTGCATACTTTGCCAACATGCCCGTCCTAGAAGTCACAGATGCTTCTGCAGTTTCTCCATTAAAGAGAACAAAGACAGAAACAAACCCTGCAGAGGAAAGACCTGTCCTCAAATTTGCAAAACTTTCTGAACATGCTACGACCCCGACCAGAGGCTCAGCTAAAGCAGCAGGTTATGACCTCTACAGGTTAGTAACTCTTTAAACTGAAATTGTTAGGTTAGGTTCACTAGATGCCTAATTTGTGACTGTTGATGTGTGTGCATGTATATTTAAGTCTGATTGTACCTTTAACTTAAAGTATTATTTTAAAAATGCAGATACGCTTACCTTTACTGTCTTTACTTAACAGTGCGTATAATTACTCCATTCCTCCTATGGATAAGGCCATTGTAAAGACAGACATTCAGATAGCAGTTCCACATGGCTACTATGGGAGAGTTGGTGAGTGTCTCTCTGCTATTCAATTTTTATTTGTTTTTGGGTTTATTTTATTTTATTTGAGTTATCTGTTGTGTGAACTCGTGTTAGTCTTTCCTGTTTGTGCACCAGTTGTAAAACACCAGGTCGTCTGTAACTGTCTTTTTGTGGTTTTTCCCTCCCCAGCACCAAGATCTGGACTGGCAGCAAAACACTTCATTGATGTTGGTGGTGAGCTAGCTAGCTATCTGACCTAATCATTGCAAGTTAACCCCAGTAGTGTACAGACATGACATTTTAATTTGTGTTATGTGTCGCATGTTCTCCTCAGCTGGAGTTGTAGATGAGGACTACAGAGGAAATGTTGGTGTTGTGCTGTTCAACTTTGGCAAAGAGACGTTTGAAGGTGAGTTATGGTGGCAATAATGTATATTGTCAGTCTTTCATAACTACAGTAACCAATGAAAGTAATCAGATTAGGGGATGATATCCATGCGCTCCACTTAATATAGATGCAGTATGGTACAAAAGTAGACTTGGATACTTTAAAAGAATGATGCAATTATCAGCTTTTATTTATCAGTAAAATTTGTGATTTAAAAAAAAAAGAATTGGTATTTGTGTGAAAGACTATTTAAGCTATTGTGACCCAAAAAAAGGTCTAAAAGTGATCTGAGAATGATAAATTGAGCTTCACATATATTGCTTATATTTCATTTAAGCCAAAAAATAAATAATATTTTTACTGTTGACACTTTTCAGCCTATTGGAGCTTAATAATGAAAGTATACACATAAACGCTTGATATGAATACTTTTATCGATCAGTCAGATTTAAAGGTTATCTCATCTGCTTCCTTTTAACCTTACAGTGAAAAAGGGCGACAGAGTTGCTCAGCTGGTGTGTGA